GTAAGTTGCAATAAATGTTGAGACGAAATGGGAAGGGGGAAATGGCTAAGGGGAAATGGCCAAGGGGAAATGGTTAAGGGGAAATGGCTAAGAGGGAATGGCCAAGGGGAAATGGCCAAGGGGAAATGGCCAAGGGGAAACGGCTAAGGCGAAAAGGCTAAGGGGAAATGGGGAAGGGTTCAGGGGTTAATAGGGAATGGGGGGGGGGAGGGTATAACGGAAAATAAGAAAAGTTGAATGTGGTGAGGAAGGGTTAATGAGAAATGGGGAGAGATTCAGTGATTAAGGGGGAATGGGGGAGGGGGGGTTTAATGGGAAATAGGAAACGGCGATGGGTTCAGGCGAAAAGGGGTGGGGTTTAAGAGTTAAGTTGAAATGGGGATGAGGTTGAGGATTAAAAGGGGAAATGGGGAAGAAGTAAAGAGTTAAGGGAAATGAGGCGTAGAAGGGTTAATGGGAAATGGGGACTGTTAAGGGTAAATAGTTAATGGGGAGAGTTTAAGAGTTCAGGGGAAATGGGAAGGTAGTTTAAGGGTTAACGGTTGATTATGGATCAGAGAATAGATGCCAGGACGCTAATGGAGGCTGGGGTACGAGTCATGCACGAACGAGCTTCCGGGTTGTGTGCGTGCGTGCGTGCGTGCGTGCGTGCGTGCGTGTGTGTGTGTATGTGTGCGTGCGTGCGTTTGTGTGTGTGTGTGTGTGTGTGTGTGTGTGTGTGTGTGTGTGTGAGAGTGAATGCGTGCGTGCTTTTAGATGCTTTTGTGTTTGCGTCTGCGTGCGTCTGTGTTTACGTGTCAGCCGGAGGATGATGAAGAGCCCCGAGAAGAATGGTTTTACGTTAAATGCGGCTGTATATTTCCGTCACGTAGCTCGTTAGTTGCACTCCCGGGTTTGTTGGTGGCGGTGGTCGTCCCAGCAGGCGTCCAGGGGGCGGGGGGAAAGGGGGGGGATGCTTGGGTCTTGTCACCCCTCCCCCCCTCCCCTCCCCTCCCCTCCTGACCTACCCCGCCTTATATCTCCCTTGCCTTGTGTCCTCCCCTTCCCCCTCCCCTCTCTTCACCTCCCCACCACCCCCTCCCCTTATCTCCCCCCCCCCAGTCATCCTCTTCTACTTTTGTTTTATTTTCAGATATCTTCACTTTTTCCTTTCTCGTTCCACTTTTCTCACTGATAAAGTTTTAGAATTCTGTCTCATGGCAGAGGGAAATGTATTATTATTATTGTTATTTTACTTATTAATTTCTTGCCTCCTTTTGTTTTATCACATTACTTAGATTTTGTGTCACAGCCCTCTCTCTCTCTCTCTCTCTCTCTCTCTCTCTCTCTCTCTCTCTCTCTCTCTCTCTCTCTCTCTCTCTCTCTCTCTCTCTTTCTTTCTTTCTTTCTTTCTTTCTTTCTTTCTTTCTCTCTCTCTCTCCCTCCCTCCCTCCCTCCCTCCCTCCCTCCCTCCCTCCCTCCCTCCCTCCCTCCCTCCCTCCTTCCCTCCCTCAATCTATCTATCTATCTATCTATCTATCTGTGTTGTGATGTCTATCTATCTATCTATCTTTCTATCTATATGTTTCTAATCTTCCTTTCCCATGATTATTCTCAGCCATCCCTTGCATTCCTTGGTCCCACAAAAATGAGATGTTGAACAAATGTCCCCTTTCTGTGATCCCCCTCAGCAGTCTCCCCCTCTCTTCCTTTTTTTCTTCATTTTGCTGTCCCCCCTTTCATTATACTTATTTTTCCTCTAACCGCAGTAATCTGCATTATGTAATTTTCCCATCCCTTCTGTTTTTTTCTTCACTTACTGTCTTTATTTTCTTATTTCCCTCCTCCTTTCTTTTCTCCGTTTCCTATTTCAATTTCTTCTTGCTTCTTCTCTCACTAACCTACACTTTCCTTCTCTCCTATGCTTCTACTCTCTTTCCTCCTACATACCTCTCCTCTTTGCCTTCCTTCTCCTCCTCTTCTTCATTACCTTCTTTTCCCTTCCCTCCCTCCCATTTCCTTCCCTCTTCTGCACTCGCCTACATTCCCTCCATGCAGTTCTTCCTATGTCTTCGCCATACTTTTCCCTCCCCTTCTCTCCCCATGCCCTTCTCTCCTTCCCCTCCTGTGCTTCTTCCCACTTCTCTCCTCTTTCCCCCTCCCTCTCATCCCTCTCTTCCTTTCTCTTCCCTTCTCTCTTCTTCCTTCCTTCCTCCCTTCACTCTTCTTTATTCCCTTCCATCTCTTCCCTCGCTGCTATCCCCTCCCTTCCCCTTCCCCCTCCTTCCTTCCTTCCCTTCCTTTCCTCCCTGCCTGCCTCCTCTCTCTTCCCTCCCTTCCTGCCTTCCCTCTTCTCCCGTCCTTTACCCCCTTCTCTCTCCTCCCTCCCTTCCTTCCCACCCTCTTTCCTTCCCCCTCCCCCCGTCCCCTCTATTGAAAGGATCTCCCCTGCAGAGAGTAAAGTGTAGGTTGTCATAGCTATTCAAACGTCGACAAGCGTGGTTGCAACGATGCCCTGGCG